TATATATATATATACACTGTGATTCGTTTTTATAATATATGGTTACCTATAGATTAAAGGTTACCATGCATTATGAAAATGCATGGGCCTATGGAACGACACACTTGAACATGATATACCCAACCCAATTCTATTGCTTATAATTTTTATAAAAGTGAACATATTATGAAGAATTGTTTTCAATCAAAACGCCAAACATTAAGGAACGTAACGATATCAAATAAATGCATGTACCTTTATTGATAAAAGTTATTAAAAAATAAAAAAGACAATGAAGAAGCACTGCAGAAAGAAAACTGGGTATATATATATATACATGCCATACTCAGAAGTAGCACCGAAAAATTAAAAGGTCAAAACGATTTTATTATAAAAACAAGATAATCATATTTACAAAAGACTCACCATATTTGCGCATGTTTAGACTCTGTCGAACACGATGACTTAATTTCATAAAACCCACTGTTCTCAGACTGACAGTCATTTTCATAATTGCTTAGCAATTAATGTAACAAATAAACAGAGTTCGCTAAATTAAAAATTCCAAGAATCTCCGTTTTTTATTTATTAATTGTTTTCTTCTTAGGATTATACAGAATCTGGAAAGAAAAATTTAATAAAGATATATTAATAATAATGAATATAATTAAATGTGTTAACAATAAAACATGAATTATGATAAAATTCATTTCAATGCAAATTTAGTTATTGATATGCAATGATTCTCGCTGCATTAATAATGAAATATCTATTATATGTAAATATATTAAAATGATAATGAGTAGATATTATAATTGCAAAGTAAAATATTATAATAAGTATATATTGTTCCTTATTTTTGATGCTATAAAATATTATATGTCACAATTTGTGTGTATCATAGATTTGATATTAATAAAATTCCATTGAATATCTCTTAAAATTAATTAGAAATTTAATTCAGTTTTGCATCATGTATTTGACACGCTCTTCGATCTAATTAACAGCCAAGAAAACACATGCAGATAATGCTTTTGAAGAATAACAATACGACAAGAATTAAATATTTATAAGTTTTTCTTACGTATCCAGTGATAATAGCAAAGTAATAGATGAGATACTGCTGATAAAGATTGATTGTGACATTCAGATATATATATTATTTATCCGCTCGTAGTAGTCTAGTATTTTGCAGTGTGTGCAAATAGCCTCTGTTCTTTTATTACTATATGCATCCAATTTCGATCGTTCTTATATATATGTTTAAGATATTGGCCTATCTCTGTGATGGAAAACTACCTGTTATCCAAGTATCTAATCGGAATCCAAATGAACAGTAATTTCTCCCCACTTGCGGTCGTCGCTCAATTATATCTCTTTTTAAGTAAATTACCTAAAACGAAGAATAAATAATGGATCTGTGATAGAGATTTGAGAAAAACTAAACTCTAGATATACATTAAGATTCCCGAGACTTCAGTGTATCGAGATTTTTTGGCGTTTTTGGACTTTTTTTTTAATCTGTATATCTCGGAGCTCCTTCTATCGACTTTTATAAATTATAGGCTGTTTTTTGATCGATTCTCCATCAATTGAAAATAAATATTATTTATTGTAATTGAAATATGTCCATTTTTGCTAAAGTTACAATAAAGATACGATCCCCAGTATTCCAATGTATATTTTATATAATGCGAAAAAAGTATATATATATAAGCTTAAATCAGAATACATTTCCCTAACATTATTAATACATCTATAATTTTCTAATATTATTTTCTCTAATAATATTCTACTACTCATATATATCCAGTCAACACCAACTAAAAGAGAGATATATATATATATATATACACATAAATATTATATATATATATATATATATATATATATAATTTCGCACTGAACATAGGTGCTTTCCATTTATATCTATTTCTATCAATGCAGTAGATTAACTTCTCCATTTAACATTAATTAAAATTGAACTATATTAATAGAAACGAGCATTAATAATACAATCATTGGATGTCTTTTACTTAGTGACACAAGTTGATATAAGCATCATTTTATTTTTCTTGGTATTCCGTGGAATAATAAAGATAACGACTTGTGTCATTAAGGTTCAGTTCCACAACTGTTAAGTCTCACTGTTAATTCTTAATTGAGATTCAACTTAATGCCTCATATCTTTCCAATTTTAGAATTGGATAGAGATTAAAAATAAATTGAACCTGGAACTGGGCCTAAATGGATAGTAATCTTTCTTGACATCCACAGAGTAATAAGGAGAGAATTATAATGCATCATATAACATGATTCAATAATATAAATTAAAAATAAGTATATAGAAAGGCTATGAACCAAAAAACAACAAAGTAAATGTGTAAATATAAGAAACAAATATAATTATCATGATCTAAAGTAAATAACAAATAACAAACGTCGTTTCGAACCCGATCGGGTCTTCTTCAATGTTACATATAAACAAAATTACATAAAAAAGATGAAATAATATACTTAAATTAAATCAACTAATAAAATAATAAGCAGCCATCTAAACAATCGTATCCTGTCATCATGAATATGATATTACGTCCGCAACAATATAGCGTAAATGTTGGATGTAAAATAAAAGAAATAAAGAAAGTCCATATTGGTGTAAAAATGCGCAAAATAATCACAAGCATCGTAAAAATCTATAAAAATAGTGAAATCAAGCATTACATCAATACGATATCTGAAGCCAAGAAAACTCAGATCATTAAGTATACTGATACTGAATATAAAGCAATAAAAGTCCGTAGATTACTATACATAAAAATTAAAAATTGTAATTAAAGATATCTTAAAATTACAATATTGCGGTATCCGACAGATAAAAAAGACCACAAAAACTGTATTTGTACAAAATTTCTTCTATCAAGAATTACAAGTTGGCAAAAGAGTATAAAATTAAGAAGCTATATTGCGAAGAAATGTCTTTGTTGTCTGGCTGCGATACACAGAGTGAAGGAATCGCTAAGAAAGTGGGAGATTGGAAATGGATAGGATAGGGAGACAAGAAGAAAAAAAAGGGAGAATTATACTTGCGTAAAACTAATGTCACTAAGGGTGCGTTCGGTGAGACACTATTAGCACTATTTATATAATTCTATCCTTGTTTTACGTCTGATGAACAATGAAGATAGAATGGCGTAAATGGCGTTGATAGTGTCTCTCCAAACGCACCCCAAATGGAAAGCACTCGGCACTTCAATGAGTCCATCAAGGAAAAATGGAGTTAACCAGTAGGTTACAGCAGCAATGAATTTTCTTTGCTTATTTTAAAGTTCTATACTATCGACGTTTTCAACGAATGTGTTGCACCCAAGATGTATAGATGACGTTGCAGATATCACCGAGAAGCCACACAAAAAAGAAATTTATGATAACTCAATTTTTATCTTATCTAGACGCGATGTCTAAATATATTGCAAGAAACCGATTGCGTTTCAAAATCGTACATTTACAATTTGATGAACAGATCCGGTGTTTTAAAACTGCATGTGTAACAAAAGTGCATTAAATGGACATTTAATATTCTAAGAATATGCTTAAAATATTAAATAATATATAAAATAAAATATTAAATAATATTTGCGCCTATAGGATTATATCAAATGCATCGGGAAGCTAATAAAGGTTTACTCGCAAAATCTGATTGAATTCTACATTTTATTTAGAAGTCCTTCGCAATAAAAATCGTACATTCCTCACAGTTCAAGAATCTAATCCACAACCGTGTTTCTTGCACGCGTTAGCACGCGAACGGTTTCCGTTACGCTCATTAAGCAGCTCTTTTCCCATAACTGTTCCTTAGTCTAGATAACTACGAGATAACTAGAATCTTGAAACTTAAGTTGTTGATGAAATATATGAAACCTATTTCTGTTCAAGGCGAACGGAAAAATAAATTGCGAGAAATCGTAAAAATAAAAAATACTTCACTAAATGTATTAGCTCATATCTTTTTTGTTCTCTGTTTTTTTTCCTTTGGTAGTTATTTATACATTGTCAATAAAAAATCTTGTAAAGTATATACAAATACATCCCGTGAAACGAATGAAACTCGCGTAAAATAGATTGTAGAGCTAGAGGTTCTTCCCTGAAAAGCAAATTGTGTTTCGATTCGGCTTCTTGTCTTTTTTTCCGATGTGTACTTCCGATAAATATCAGAAATAAAATTCTCAAAGCGCATCGCAGCACTTTGTATTCACGCGAATAATCTATGCGAGAAAAACTCAAGCGAACTAATCATAATAATATCAAAATGACGCTTCTAAAGTGAAGCTGCGTTCAGAGAGTATTATGCTGATGTGTTATTGCATTATTATAATATTTTTTTACGTTTAATAAACACTGAAGATATAAGAATACTGAGAATGACATAATAACGCTGAAAATAGCAGATGTTCTCCGAACGCAACATAAAACAAATTATTTTTTAATGAGTCACATTTCATTTTAATATAATTTTTATATTATCTTGACTTGTTTTGCTTCTTAGTCAATTATTGATTCAATTAACCAATATCTTATTTAATTATTTATCATCATTTTGATGTCAACTAATTGTTTATTGATCGATTGGGGTAAGGTTCCAATAAATAAAATGTTAACGATATGGTTATAGCACACTGCCAATAGAATCATAAATATAATAATAATAACTTTATTGAAACAAAAGATTATGAGATGTACATAAAAATAAATTGATACAGAACAGCACAGAATAGTAGTAAAGATTCAATTATAGGATCTGTTCTCGACACACTTTCTTTGTTTGTCTAATTTGTGATCGCAAATGTGACGCAATTCAGCATGCAATATCGTGTCTCAATGACGATTTCGATTAATGAAATCTTTCATTAATCTTGAGATTATGACGGCAAAAAACTTGTCTTGAAACGATAAACGGGTTATGATTCCATAGGCGTAACCAAAATTTTAAAGAAGAATGAAAATAATTAAAACTACTTGAACGTATTACTATGCTTAATGAGTATTTACAAGAAATTAGTTTTGGGAAAGAGAAAAAAATTGGAACTGAAAGTTATAAATCCGTTTCTACCTAAGATTTAGATTAATTTTAATATTTTATCTTTTTTATTTTAATATTTTATCTTTTTTATTTTATTTTTTCTATTTATCTACTCTAATGTAGATTAATTTTAATATTTTATCTTTTTCTAGTTCTAGGAATTAGAAAAGGATGAGGAGTAAATTAAACAATATAGATTAAAAAGTTAATCTATATTAATAGAAATGGAAAGATTTTCTGAGAATGGCTAGTGTTATAAATTTAAAAAGAATATATATGTGTTTAACTGGGCTCTCTTTCTTTAAAATAACAAACAACATTTAATGAGAGTCAGTACAGGAGAGAATGCGCAAATTGTTAAAGTATCAAAAAAATCTTTATTTTATCTAATGTGCAGATGTCTTCTTTCTTTCAAATTCTTGATAAACTGAACGTTTCAATTCTCTTTGGTGACCTCATCAGCAATTTAATATAGGTTTAATCTATATTGATTAGCACTCAGTCAGGTAAAATCATTCACAGACATTTGTCAAAACTGTAGTGAATTATTAACTGACGCTAATTATAATAAAGCTTCGGAATTATTTTCATATACGCAAATTAGTGCTTTAAATACGCAAATGATTTATATTCTATAAAAAAAATATTATAAAAAAAAAACAATTATTAACTCTGACTGATATAAATTTCATTTTTTTTCAGTTCAAAGAATCAATTTACAATTTTAAGAGAAAAATTAAGTAAATTAATAAATTAAATATGTGTGATTTTGTCATTTTTACTTGCTAGTAATTAATTAAAAATAATAATATAAAACAAAACAAGTCAAATAATACATACCATTCGACTATTCACCTCCTTTCCCGGATTTAAAAGTTTCTAATTTGGTCCCCTCATTCCGCTAAAAGAAATTCTGGCTACGTTCATACATAATTCCAAACATCAGGCTTTTTCCGTTTGATTCAATTTTGTGAACAATTTATCTTTTTTCTTCACATTGATAAAAAAAAAGAAAGAAAACAGATGAATCCAATAAATACAACTAAAAAAGATTTAGGTCGATATTCATAGTTTTTATTTGAAGACAATTTTAAGTAATGTTTTATAATGAGCTTAATAGGCTTTTACAAGACAATAAGTCATTATATATAAGCTTTAATTAAATCTTAAGCCGAAAAAATTGATCAATCATAGTCGATTATTTTTCTCATATTCGACTGTGATTGATCAATTTCTTACGACTTAAGACTTAAGCTTAGAGAATGACTTGTAGAATGTCTATTAAAACAAAAACAAAGATAATCTAGGCTACTAGGAGTCAGTGCGGAAAGAGGTGCACAAAAATTTTTTAATAAGTAAAATTGTTACTCCATTTAATGAACAGATGTCTTCTTTATTTAAAATTGAGACCTCTTCTAATTTTGAGAAATCTCTTGAATGTTTCGACTCTCTTTGGAATCTTCTTCAACAATATTCTTATTCTATTACTATATTATTAATTTCGCGATCAATCAAGATAGACTCACTCACATACGACTTTATAATTGATTTATGATAACTTCAAACTATACTTAACATACGGTCTTGTAATAAGAATCGATTATGAATACTTATCGGTTGTCTGGTCGCCATGGTATTTTCCACAGACTGAAGGGTTTCTATTATCTTACGTGTTCTATTGGCGTACATTCAGGCCGTTCAGGGAATAACCGAGAATAAACGCTTGTTTTCTTATTATACATATACAATATATATATAATCATATATATATACGAAAATAAAAGCAAATATAGCAGGCAATCCGGCTTGCACTAGATACTTATTTACGATAATTTATCGCTTAAATAAATACACTCCGCAAAACACTTGTCGCAATTGTCGGTCATATCTACGTCATTCGTCAATTATGTCAAAACGTGCTTCGTCAGTCACTAAAGTCCACTCTATAAATGACTTAACGTAATTCTCAGAATGCATAATCGAATGCATTACAGTTTTTTCGTGTGTCGTATTAACAAACAAAATGTAAAAGAAGTATTTACACCTCGTCGTATCAACTTTTGCCTATCAGAAGTTTTGATTGCGCTTCTATTCTAGTCACTGTCTCTTTCACATTCTATTTCCAGTTTTTTTATTTTCATCAGGCTTAGTAATTGCACATACTACATGGTTCACAAACAGGCAGCTGTTTACGCATAATTTATAATAAAAAAATATAATAGTCAAACACTTAACACTCGTGACACTATCGTATCTCCTAATTGGCCAATTTTAAACGTGTATACTTCAAAACTGTATGTACCTGCAAAGTGGACTTTACATTTCAAAAAGTAATAAGTAAGCTGAAATAAATGTATCAGTTGGAGGACATGATGTAATTATCGAACGACTCTAAATAAATTTGTTATAAAATGTTTACAAACAACGAATTTACTTAGAATCATACGTATCATTAAAAGCTTATATTTAATATTTTTGTTATTTCGTCTAATAATTGAGTCATGTCTCTACTATCCAATAACTAGTATATTTGTCTTACTATTTAGAACAAAAACTGTTTTTAATTGTATTTAGAACAAAAACTATTTTTAATTGATTTTTTTAAAGAACATTCTTGCTGTGATTTTTTGTTTCGTGAATTTTAAAACATCCAGTTGATGCTTAAAATTATACGTAAGTTTATACATTATACATACGTCATGCTTCGAAAAATAGGAAACAACATGGCGTTATTAAATGCGTTTGTTTTTCTATTTGTGAAAGTAGCCTTTCGCTCGAAAAAAATGTTCCACATCCCCTTTCGATTATTCTTAATCATTTTCGTGTATCGATAAAGAGCTGGAGCAATAGTTAAAGAACCATTTCTGTGAAACGCAAATAAATAGAGGAAACAATTAATATACATATAAAGTATACTCGTCAAGCATTTAAAAGTTTCTTTACGCAATGATTTAAAAAAAAAAACAGTTTTTATGTACAATCATGCACATGATAAAATCCTGCAGCATATATTACCTTACTAGAGTTCTCGTATTTATTATATATACATATACATTAATTATTTATATACATCTTATCTAAGATCTTATCTAAGATAATTAGCTATATGTATATTATCAAGCAGACATTTACATAACGCGAGTCTTCATGCAAATTTTCATGATAACGTATGAAATCAATTTATGATGTAGTAAATTAGTAATTAGTA